TACTCTTTCTTTCTTTTGTTTTTTTTTTTTGTTCTTTTAACAAAAATATATCGTTTATAAGCAACAAGCAACCAACGCCTAATTCATTCCCCGTTAAATTTCCTTTAGCAATATTCTGTTTCTAAAGAGTTTTTCTAATTCTCATTAACTTATAATTTATTGAAGTAAATTGTTTGTAGAATTGTCGCCACTTGACTAGATAAATTGATCGTTTGAATGAAGTAATCGTTTTCGTGACTCATACATACGTATGTGCAAATGTCTCTTTCTTTTTTTCTGTTTTTTTTTTTTTTCGTTTTTGTTTTTTATACGTGTGTTGTGATTCACGTTATAATTCATACGGCTTGGAAATGCTCGTCTCTGTTAATCTCACTGATCAACAACGAAAATAAGTGTGATGCGATTTTGTTTCTCTTAATATTCGTTCAGAATAAAAAGCTAGCATTGCCAATAGAAATGAATTTACAATAGTACCGTAACAATTCATTAAAATTGCAAAGAAACGTAAAACAATGACCTAGAACAACCAAATAGTTTGCATTTCCATTTCAAAACTCTAAACATTATTTATAATGATAAAGGGCAAAATACCGCTAAAACACCTTTATGCAATTTGAGAAATGGCTAATAATCTCTATTTAGTAGACTTACGAATATAAAAAGTTATATTCAAGTAAGATGGAAATTATCTCCAGCTCTTCGTGTCTATATCTGCCTATATATTAACCATATTTAATTTAAAACGTCTTTCGATCTTCTGATCGTTTTCGGCAGCACTTTGCGACTAGCTATTCGCCCTAAAAACCTTATTTACATTCGTTCACTATATTCCTGTATGGTCCTGGATATATAACATAGCCTTGTAGATAAAAAGCTGCCACATTCGGGGTGTAATCCGTACTTTATAAGACAAATAATGGTTAATTATATAATTCTTGATTATCTCGACTACAATAAACTACTTATCAAAATTCCAATAAATGTTGACAAGCATTCAAATCCCCTCTTAAAAGAATAAAATATGTAGTAGTTTGTTATACTCTGATCTATTCACTTCAAGTTAATATTAGAGGACAACCCAATGAACATTGAAATTTATATATACGACAGATGGCGCCCATCGAAACTTTTGCCACAAGAACTACGCTATTTTTATCTGGTTGATCTTTCAAGATTTGCTTGAATGTTAATACAGCTTTTACTGCAATCGAAAGTAACGTTATCAGGAGACATCTGATGTATTTCGAAAAGAAACTTTGTAGGTAACATTTCTCTATAGATTCAAATATAGCAAATGTTCATAGAATCCTAGCGACGCTTCTCACATATCTAATCCGCGTGGCGAGAACTGCACTAACATTTTCTTTGGAATTTGTGTCAAACTGAAGAAGAAGTTTTTCGTGAATAAAAGGGAAGTGACCTGAAGGTGACCTGAATCACGTATAAAAAATTTAGCTTTCGCTAACTAAAACTAACTCTCAGCTACGCGATTATGTTCTTGGGTGTTGATGGCTAATCTAAAGTCGCATTGATTCTTAAATACTGCTGCTAGACGTGTGAAACCACGAAGAATGAATTTTCCGCTTCGGCGTTCACATAAATTTGCCAATTATAATAAAAGCCTCTCTATGTAAGCTATTTGTAGAAAGGCATTTTTCCAACAATGGTTGACCTGCTTTATGGCATATAGGGAACTTTCTCGCGTTTAAGACTGCTGATGATACACGTACAAATATCGCAACGAAACGGAGTACTTTGGAAAGGAAACGTCGAATTTTAAAGTGCCATAATGGCCATTCATAATTTTCATTTAATCCTAGCGAAGTCAGCAAACCTAATATATAATTTGTTTTTTCAAGTTTGATTTAAAAAATTTTTCCCTCCATTTTTTTTAAATTTACGAATTTGTTACCTTGAGAATGATTTAAGTATTAGGCGCGACAAAAGATTGTAGACATTGTTTTTAGATTTTTGTAAAGGAGGGAAAAGTTCAAACGAACTCTTCATTGCCTCTTGATCAAGCTAGTAAATGATTATCGGAAGCGGTCTGCTTGTGGCGGTTTTGTAAAGTTTATTTTATAGGTATAAAATATTTTTGTAGTAAAAGACAATTTTTGTAGTAAAATTTTACCTGACCTATGGAATTTTTTACATCATTTTTAGATTGTGACAGGGCTTTAAAGAAAAACTTGCATTTGTCGAATACTAGTAACAGTTTTTGAGCGAATGACAAGGTCAAGCAAAAAATAATAACCGAAGAAGCGAATCTGCCAATAGTTTGTATTGCTTAAAAAGCATATGCATTTTGTATCGTGTTTGAGTGGAACTAACCAAATTAATATATTGGCAATACAGGCATTCAATGGCAAATACACTACTTTACATAAATTAATTTAAAGATTTATTGTTAATTCGTATTTTTAATATTTTCAGTTGCTTCCGTTTCCTTTTTGCATAAAAGACGCGTAGACATGTAGTTTTTCATGGTAATAAATATCTCTAGTCAGTAATAACCTAAATCCGGTTGAATATTCTTACTAGTAAGCACGACTAAGCTACGTTTGTAAAGCAGACTTTCGTCAATTCAGTTTTGAGTAGAATTACATATTTTTGGAAACGGCGGGTCGAATAAAAGAATATGCAAACGATCAAATGGATACAGATTACCCGTCAATATGAGATCCTGATTACGTTCATATATCTGTTCAATCTTAAAGATGCAACTGCTGCTAAGTTTGATATGGAAGATCGAATGTTACTCTCGGTTAAGTTTCATTAAAGACGCCCACTTTCTTCTTCTACAGTACTACCCTCGCTACTTATGGACTGGATGTCGTAAAATGTGCGGGAAATGTTGCTACAGTCCAATGAATTAAAGTGATAGAGTGAGTGCTTAAATCCAAACTGTGTGTGTTTTCTTGTCATAGCGCTTATGATTTTATATCAAACTTGACATTTCGTCGTAGTAAGAATCGCAGTAAAACTCTTATATGATTTAATAAATCATGAAAAACACAAGCAATAAATGCTTTTTCACTTTGCTGTGTCTGTGATATTGCTCACAATACAGTCATCAATCAATTCAATCAATTTAATTACATACGCACGATTTTAATAGCAGAATAGGTTAATATCTTCCTTTTATACAATCGTTTCAATTTACTGCACTATAAGAGACATTTGTCTCTATATGGGTATTGGAGCGAAACTTGAAAAGAAAACACATGAAAATGGGATAATTTTTGCGTTTATGATAAGAGTGTCGACGGCTGCTAGTTGTCGTATCAATCGACATTTATTGATTTATTATTTAAGATTGTTAGCATAATTAATTTATAGCGTACATCGAGTAGAACACACAGCAAAATTAAATCTGCCTTTAGACAAGATTTGAATGCCATACGTCTGCAATTGAATGCATTTCGTGTGAAAATTGCAATTTCCACGTTTTGCTATGGGGTATGAATAGAAGAGATAGAGAGAGAGAGAGAGAGAGAGAGAGGGAGAAAAAGCCTTTTATGTAAAATTCGTACTGCCAACAGCGAACGATCAAATACGCTTCGCAAAATATATACTTCATAAGCGTATTAGAATTTGCATGAACATGGCTTCAGTCATGTTCAGTCGATTGATCATCTCATAGAAAGTTGATACATAGGAGATTGGAAATTAAAGTGCAAGACCAAGTTCCATTGGCTTGAGAACGTTCTAAAGGCTTCGAAAATTTAATGGGATTCACTTCAATGAATTTCGAATAAATTATTCCTCAGATAAAAGTCTGCATTGTAAGCACCGAAGGGATGCTTTTTCCTCCAAGCAAAATGAACATGTCTAGTAAACGTAGAGAACACTCTCTTTTACAGAGTCTTTTACTTCCGCTGCCCTTCGTCGTCGCCCTGCAAATAGCAATCAAGGGCTCCTGTTTGCACTAGAAAGATGGTTGCATGACTACAAAGTTAAAAAAACTACAAGGTTTTAATCTCGAAAGATCGTAGACTATCAATTTCGAAACTGCTGGTAGATGAAGAGCGAGTACTCCTCATAGAATCAACCTGCGTTGTCATGCCCTTGTTAATTTTTATTACTATGCGTCATGCATCAAATTCTACTATCTCTCGTGCGTCAACTTTCCAGATAGCATTTTCATGGTTAAAGCTAGCACCCTTAGCGTAAAACTTACCAGTCCTGGCGATCGCAATAAAGGCTCGGTTAGTTGAGCCTCTCTTTGCTTTTTTAATGATTTTCATTCATTATAAGAGCTCTTTTAATAGATGTAAAAATAAATTCTCTACGTTGAAATTTTTCGTTTGATAAAACCTATCTGTTGGATTCAATTGAAATTGAAATTGAATTGAAATAGCAAACGAGCTATTCACAATAGACGAAGGTTTCCGAAAATAGCTTGATGAACACTTCAAACACGAGCACATCCACAAGGTGGCCAACAAAAGGCAAAAGACAATAATTTAGGATGGTCGCCACTGGTGGATTAAGAAAGATTGTAAGCAAGTATGCTTTCAATAAATTTGAGTTTTACCAAAAATACCGGAAATTTATTTGTAGATCTAATATAATATAATAATTTCCCCCTAAAACACTCCACGAATCTCGCTAAAGAAATCAGGAATCTACTCTTGATCTTCAAGCATTGGTTACATGGATTAAAATTGGTACATAAATGCAATGGTAGAGCGAGTGCAGCTCAGAATGTTGGTAAAAAAATCATTCTACGGAATACGTTATAACGCTGTTCATATCAGCTCCCACTAGTTTCAAGACTTTTGATATTTAAAATATTTGTCTATGTGGATTGTGGATTTTTCGATTTTTTCAAAATATTAAACATTAAGCATTCCTTGCAAAATTAATCGATCGATCCGGTGATTCCTATAGCACGCTCCTGACAAATGCCTTGTAATATATAATTCTACTAGAATATTTGTGTTTATTTATGATTTGTTCCATTATTTTAAAAATATTTTAATAAATAATTACAGACAATCGGCACATTTCACCCTTTCGATCTATGTATGTATATATATTTTTTCAAGTTGTGTGTGTAAATTTACTTAGCGTGAACACTTCTTCAATTCTCCCAGTTGAAAGTGAACGAGGAATTAAATAAAATAAAGTTACAAAACGATTGACAATAATTTTACAGATTTTAGAATTAGAAGTGGTGACAACAAAGAGTTAAAACACGAGCTCTTATGTAAAACTTTAGTTTGTACCAAAAAAATTTGTTATGTAAATAAACAATAATGGAAAAAAACCAAACACACGCATAATTTTGTTTATGAAGGAATGAAGGAGACAAAACGAAAAACTATGTACTAAAATATTATGCTGGAACTGTCTATTTGGAGGGAGACGTTAATGAATTGTTAATGGATTTATTTAGTTGCTCTTCTTCGTCTTTATCAAGACCCAAAGCCATGGTTAGTAGTCGAACGACGCATTTAGTCTCTTGAACTTCGCCGCCCTTCTCGTTAGATGTAATATCCTGCTCAAGTTTTAACTTTTCTTCGGCGACGAGAAGCATACCTTCCTCAATGGTGCTTTCTGATATGAGACGGTATATTGTAACGGGCCGTGTTTGCCCCATACGATGGCAACGATCTTCTGCCTGCTTATCGTTGTACGGATTAAAGTCTATATCATGTATAATGCACGTATCGGCGGCCGTTAAATTAATACCCACGCCACCTGCCTTAGTAGATAGTAAAAATATAAATATACCAGAATCTGTGTTGAAATCGTTAATCATATCCTGGCGTTCTTCAACAGCAGTGGAACCATCTAAACGGCAATAGCCATGTTTTCTTATATCTAAATATTTCTCTACAACATCCAACATCATGGTAAACTGACTAAAAATCAATACCCGATGCCCCTCTGCCTTTAGCTTGGGCAGTAGCGAGTCCAAAAATTGAAATTTACCAGAATCACATATTAAGTCTTCAGGAATTTTGACATCCAAAAGTTCCTACAAGCATATATAAATGTAATAAAATTTTTCACATTACTTTCATTTTGTCGATTATTTACGTGCTTATGACACAACTGCCAAACTTGAAAATCGGACATCACTGCCATTTCTTCAAAAATATACTGCGGATTTGATTTCTTATACGTTGGCACTGTGGCTAGGCGTTTAGAGAACTCCCGCAGTTTAGCATCGTCAAAAAAATAACGGGCCAGTAGTGGATGATTGGCTAATTTGCGCATTTCGACCATGATTGTAACACCAGCACGATCGCCGCTGCAAATCTCGCCTTTATTGTTTGAATAATATTCAACCAAGTCATTATAGTAACGTTTTTGAATTTCTGACATCGGGACTTTTTCCTAAGAAAACCGTGATATTACTTTACATGTGATTCAGGAAACAGGCAAAAACTTACGACTTGAGTGTGTTTCTTGGGGAGATTGCCAAGAACATCCTTCTTCAAACGCCGCAGTACAAACGGTTTCATAATACGTTTTGCTCTCTCCACTTGTGTTTCTTGGAATTGAGAAACTTCTTCGTTTCCGTTTTCAGCTTTGTTTTTCTATTAGATAGAAATGTAGTTAAATTTCCGAATTTATTTAAAATTGCAATGTGATACCTTGGCAAACAAACTCTTGATATCCTCAACATTTTTCCCGAAAAAGCTGGGCATGACGAAACACAATAAAGACATTAATTCCAGGAGATTGTTTTGCAGTGGTGTGCCTGTCAAAAGAATACGCATTTCAGCATTGATTGTTATCAAGTTGGCGTAACGTTGCGTGGTCATATTCTTTAACATGTGGGCTTCATCAAATATCACATAATGCAATTTGCAAACGCGAAACATTTTCCTCTCCTCGGGTGTACTTGCCACGATATGATAACTGCCGTTTAAAGAATAAGATATAGAAATCGTATAAATTTCAATCACATATTAGAGTTCTTTTAACATACGTTGTAAGTAATATATCGAAACCAGTAAAGCCTTCTTTAGCGAAGCGTATACGCATGCGTTTGCGTTCCTCTTGGCTACCATGATACCTCTCTACCACTAAACTGGGACACCACCGAGATAATTCGGCAGCCCAATTATCCAAAGTGGACGACGGCACCACGATCAAGTGCGCCGCCTTAGCTAGATTGTTTTCCTTCAGGTAGGCTAAGAAAGCAATTACTTGAATGGTCTTACCTAAGCCCATCTCATCAGCTAGAATGCCATTCATTTGCTGTTTGTGCATTACAGTTAACCAGTTCAAGCCTATTAGCTGATAATCAGCCAATTTAAATTTTTTATTAAGTATTTTAGGCTGCTCCACGATGCCTGCACCAGCCTCAATTGCCGTTTCTAGGCGTTGTACTAACTTGTTGCACTTAGTTAATATGTTAGCTACATTGTTCTGTTTGTTTAATAGTTCTTGGGTATGATTAAGCAACTCAGCTGACAAAGCTTTATTCGACTCTAATTTTTGACATAGGTCAGTCCAGTCTTTAAAAGGACGTAATTCTAGTATAATGCTAGCCTTCTTCTCAGAGAGGTTTTTAACAGTTTGCAATTCCATTGGAGTAGCGGTATTCATAAATTCAAACACCTTTTTCCGTTGACCGGTCATTTCGTGAGAAGCCTCAGTATCGCTGTCGTCACTATCGTAAACTTGACCTTTAGCAAAAGCCTGATCACCTGAATCTTCATCATCCGAACCATAACTTGACGATTTCTTAGTTCGAGATTTTATTGTCCCATTTGTTGCTGTCGTTTTTGCTGGTGCTGCTGCTGGTTTTGCTGGTGCTGTTGCTCTTACCGTTATTATTGCTGAAGGAGGAACGACTACTTTATTATTGGAACCTTGAAAAGAATCTGGGCCTCTTTTCGGCATACGTCTGTCTTTTAAATATTTCATAGCATCGTCAATTACCCAATTGGAACGAACCAAAGAGTCTTGTATATCCTATCAGTAAGTAATATGCCAAATTTTAGCATTTTTAACCATCTTAACGATGTTAGTATGTAGTACAATTGTATGTAAGCACTCACCATAGTATCGTAATCCGTAGCTATTTTAGCAATGGCCAGGAAACGTTCCTCTTTTTCTTCGACACTTAACTCAATTTTAATTTTCTTTGGAGTGATATCTGCATCACTATCGCTATCGGGCATCACCTGTATGCGTTTCTTGCCGGGAAGAAGAACTGCTTGTTTTACAAAAAATAAAAACAAACATTCGCAATTGTACGATTCTCTTCTTACATACATTATTATCGCGTTAATAATCGGTTTTACATACCAGTTTTGCTAGTCGCAGCAGCTGCAAGATTTTTATTAATACGAAACTGTCTCAAATCGCTTATGCTTGTTTTTGGTGCTGAAGTTACTGCCTCTGCTTCCGACATCTTTCAATAGTTTGTCACTATTTCTCTAAAAAGATCCTCTATTTATTATATATTTGCAAAATTCTTTATTCATTTATTTTTCAAAATTAGTGTAAAATATCTTTTATCTCTTTTATGCTCAACACATTGAGCAGATTTGCCTCAAATGAGAAATGAAGAACGCTCTTGTTTCAACGTTCTTTTCAGTTTTCATGAGATTGCTTCAGCGTTGCCGTGAAATGTAATTTTAATGTAATTTTCATGTTAGAAATTAGCAGCGATTTACAGCACATCAGATGTTAAGTAAGTTTATGGGTTTGCTCTTATTTGAGTCCGTTTAATATTCGGTCATTTACATTGTTATAATTAAATTAGACATATCGCACTTAAATTTATATTGTGTTCGGTATAGGGATTAGTTTACGCAAATATCAAGTCTCCTTTTTGCATATGATTAGGTTTTATAGGACTTTATTTACTGTTACATGAAAGCTATATATATATATGTATATATATACTTTACTTACGTATTTTGACATCCCTACGCTACATGCGTCCATTATGTTCATTTCTTGATACATGTTACTACCTAAACTCCTTGGTCCAATTAGCTCGTTCTACATCAATAAAAAACTTCGATTGTTTCATTCCGGCGTAAATGTTATATATTTAATAACAGAGCAATATAGCAACAGTGTTGCAATATTACGTAGTCAATTTAAATAATATTGAGCGCTTAAAGTCGGACTGAATTATAATTTCATTGCGACGTTTGCTTGAGTTTTTGAAGCAACAAATGATGAAAGAACGAAAGATGGATAGAAATTTATTAACTTTTATAAGATAACAAGAGCAAATTGGAGACTAATTTACCATCATGCGGCAGCACCGTTACTTGCTCCTGCTGTCTAATTTGTGGAAAAGTACTAAAAATGTTGGATCATATGGGAGTCGACTTTCTCACATCCGGCAGCCTTTAAAACACTAATGAAATTTTGCCCTGTTAAAAAAACCATTATTTTGTGGCTGTGCCTTTGCATCTGTGGTTGTTGTTGCAATATTTTACTATGTATGGTTGTTGTTACAAATTTTTATTTTTGTTTACATTTGCCCTGCACGTGCTATTGTTTACATTCAGAAGTAAAATCATATTATTGCTGCATCATCGTCATTGTTTAAACAAATTATAGCGGAGCGAATCGCATTACTCAGCTTCCTCATCGATTCCGATCCGTTCGGTTAGGAGGCTATATCGCAAATCTCTTGAAAACAATATGACATATGTACTAACCGCGAGTGTCAAAATTGGCTTTAAAGACAAATCTATTCCAAAAAAAATTACGTTCAATTACTGCATTCTACAAGTCAGCTTTTTTATACTTACGTTGAGACAATGCTTTAATTGTCGCTTTGACTACGAAGTTCTGCACGGCTCACGTTATCGTAAATGTAGAAGGTCGCCAGCATGCACGAAAGATTGCAGCACCATTAAAAGTCTCCTTTGTGGGTCTTCCTCTCACATTAGTCTTAGCAAAACGTGGTCGCCAAGAAAGAAAGAACAAGAAGCCAATAAATTTCCGAGAAAAATACTTTCAGCCTCTTCGGCCGAGAACGTTAAAGATACTCTTATGAAAACGAATTGTAACAAAACAACGATGATTAAATGTAACATTCCCCAGCACACAGTCCCCCCCTCCCAAATCTTGCTTATTTCTTTTTGGATGTCGTATCCGGACTGACTACACTCATACTGAACTCACTCTAAACCTACTCCCCGTCCAGATGTATTACCATCTGGCTCCATTTGGATCTCCGCTCATTCGAATTTCTGCTGATTTACAACACGCCATCAATCATGAACTTCTATGTCATGTTACGGGAGTCATAGACATTTATTTAAGAGCTTTTTTTTTCCAAACCAACAGACCAAAAAATAAATAAATAAAGTGTACTTCCCACATTTCCCGTTTCTTTTTCAAAGTCCTGTAATTTCCTTTAAAATTTCCTTTAAAACTCGTTCGTTTAGATACTATTGTTGTTTTTTTTTAATGTTCTACATACACATATGCATATTTATTTCGCTATAAACCTTGCGCATTAACCTACATCGAAAACGATGAAATCGCCATTATGTCTCAGTTCTGGGGTAATCGGTACAATTAATCAAGTATGGAAAATGATCAGGAGAATTTGAATTGAGTTTTGAACAGTATGCAAAGCACAAACACAATCAGGCCCTCGTTACGTTCAATCGCAGAAAACAAGAACGTTGACAAGAATACTGTTATAACAATAAAGGACTATTAAAGGAGTGACCTAAGATGTGAATGTGCTGGTCGAACATATACCTGGATATATATCAGTACACAACGTATATCAAATGTCTCTATTATATTAATTGTTATAATTATTATTTAGTGAATAAATAAATTACCAATCGAACTTAACGAATGTAACCTGTACATTAAATCTTTATTGCTGGGCAGTACTCAGCAGTAGCGATTAGCGATCAGTGAAGCCATACAAACTTTACCGTAATTGCTATCACAATAAATATTCATATTTGCAAGCAAAAAGTCCGCAGTATATAAAGCATACAGATTTATTATTTCTTGCAATAACTTCGTCTCTTATTAAAAGTTACTCATAAATATCTACATTCATTAAATCATGTCGGCTGTTACTAAAGGTAAATATATATAATTGCTTTAAATTGGTTAAACAAAATTTGAAATAAATAAAATGAAAAATTTTGTAGATATTTATAAAGCGCTTAAAATAAATTTTTTTTAATAATTGCATCATGTGTACTTTAATCCCTTTAATAAACATCTTTTGCTTATCTCCGATTGCCTGAATTCTTGCACTGTACACAAGATTACTTGCATCCAATTTATACAAATTTTGGAAAGTGTTTGGAAAAATTGTGCAAATCGTTATGTTACCCGTTATTTGACCCTTCTCGTTTTGCCCTAGAAATTTACAAAAAAATAAAAAAAATAATAAATAAAAATAAGTGTTCAAATTTCCAAATAATAATTAAAATTTTACCTTAATAGCGAGAAACTAAAATTTATGACATTTTGGCTGAAAACATAAAAATTGTATTGAGAAAGTTATTATACATTTGTTTACTAACACATATGACTATGTAGAATAGCTTTGCCGGTAGCTGAACTTTGAACAAAAGAATTGATTATATGTTTATGTATTCAACAGCAAGGTCTTATATGCAAAATAATACATAAAAAAATACACTACAGACAAATTTTTAAGAGGATTAAATTATTGTTGGAACACAATATACACCTTTTGATCAGGTTAATATAATAACTATAAGTAAAAAAATAGGAGGCAGAACGAGTTTTTTCTTACTCTCATTACTTGCTATAGATTTATTTGGCTAATTTGTGTAGATAAGCTTGCTAAATTTTTCTAATCTAGTCCTAAGAAACAATTATGGAAAGGGGAAGGAGTGTTGCTTCACTGGTTGCGAATGCAGAAGAGGAAGAAGAATTTGGGCAATTTTAAATGGGAGTCACTGAATAAGATCTCGAAGACAAATTAAAATTTTTTGCGTTAATATATGTTTATGTGCTCGCTATTTTACTCTCTTCCTAGGTATTTATATTGTTGCCGCTAAACGGACTGCCTTCGGTACTTTTGGTGGCGCCTTGAAAACTATTAATCAGGCCCAATTGCAAACGACAGCAGCAAAAGCCGCTATTGTTAGTTCAGGCTTAAAACCTGACCAAATTGACACTGTGGTCGTTGGTCATGTTATGCCGGTAAGGAATTTATATTATCCAATAAAGTGCCGTACAACACTCAGAACTTGTTAGAATGAACCAATATTTAAGCGCATTAACTAACAATGTCTTTAAACTAAATTTGCCAGAAGAAACGTTATCTTTTGAACTTCTCCGGTTGAACTTTTTGCCAGGCTTAAACTTAAAGCAATCGATTAGATTTTTTAGAGTTATTTTTACTAAATAAACTTCTTCTCGAGCATTTTTTTACTGGCAATTTTTTTTAAGTCCACATCTAGTGACGGTGCGTTCCTACCTCGGCATGTTGGTCTTCAATGTGGGGTTCCAATTGAGAAACCAGCTTTGGCTGTGAATCGTCTTTGTGGGTCCGGCTTTCAAGCTATTGTCAACGGAGCTCAAGATATATTACTTGGCAGTGCAAAAGTTGCTCTTACTGGTGGTGTGGAGAATATGTCTCAAGCTCCTTTCATGGCACGAAATGTACGTTTTGGTACAACGCTTGGGGCCAACTATAGCTTGGAAGATTCCTTATGGATTGGTCTCACCGACAGCTATTGCAAACTGCCTATGGCTTTAACTGCCGAAAATTTAGCTGAACAAAATAAGATTTCACGTGAGCGTGTCGATGAATTCTCTTTGCGCTCCCAAAAGTTTTGGGAAAGGGGACAACAAGAAGGCGCGTTCAATGCCGAGATCACACCTCTTAAAATAAAGGTTAAAGGCAAGGAAGTCGATTTTGTTGTTGACGAACATCCAAGGCTGAAAACTACTTTAGATGGTCTAGCGAAATTGCCGTCACTTTTCAAGAAAAACGGTGTAGTTACGGCAGGAACAGCTTCGGTAAGTTCTGTTCGGCATTGTGTCCATCAAAAAGTAAAATAAACAACATCTATTTAGGGCATTTGCGATGGAGCTGCTGCTGTAATATTGGCCTCTGAAGCGGCGGTTAATGAATATAAGTTGAAACCTTTAGCTCGCCTAGTGGCTTACGCGTACGTGGGATGCAAACCAGAGATTATGGGCATTGGTCCAGTCCCGGCAATTCAAAATGTTTTAAAAGTTAGCGGTAAAAAACTCGAAGACATTGATCTTATCGAAGTAAGACTTCAACTAAATTACCAAAGTTGAAAGAAAGACCGAGACATCTCTGCAAATATTATTTTCTAGATTAACGAAGCTTTTGCTGCTCAAACATTAGCTTGCGCTGATGCTCTCGGTTTAGATATGAACAAATTGAACGTTAATGGCGGTGCAATTGCTTTAGGTCACCCTTTAGGAGCTAGTGGAAGCCGTATAACTGGTCATTTGGTACATGAAATGCAGTAAGTTTTCGTATCAAATTTTTAAAGAACAACGATGCAAACACATAGAATATTTTGTTAATATTGTTACGAAATTCCGGTTTTCTTCGATAGGACTCGTACCACTAGATCGTGGATGTTATTTTCAAAAGAAATGCACTTCTAAATTCTTTTATTTACAGTCACATTGGTTAGCAGCAGGATTATTCACAATGTTCTTGTCCGACTCACTCTGCCTTCCGCAAACAGTCCATTTATACACCGTTTACTGATCATAAGTATCGTGCGACTAACCAATTGCGCCATTGGAGCTACAAACATACCGGCTTCAGTTATTACGGCCGCTCTTGTTTTTCTCGCGTTTTATACATATTTCTGAACAAAATTACGACATTTTATTATCTGGACTTGTAAGTCACAAATTCATTGGCTTAGTCCATCTCCACCCAACAATCCAAAAAAAAAAAAAAAAAAAATAGTCTATTTATATACATTTTCACAAGCATATTCATAGCTTCATTTTTAATCCGTTAACCTGTTTCTCCAGTTCGTTCGATCGTTTTTCTCGTCTGGCAGCTGCATGAGGCGCCTGCGAGTATGCATTTGGTGTTTCCCTCTCTAGGGAATTTATTATTTGGGAACATTAATTATCCGAAATGAGCTGGATTTAGCATTTCCGTAACAATATTATAACTTAAACATGCTGAAGACTTCATTTTATTTAGAATATTCACTTTAATTCGCCTGCCGGAACATTTCCTTTGATTTTCATTTTTTTTGTTTTTTTGAATTTCTATTTTTAGACGTAAAAAACTTAAATATTCAATCGGCTCTGCTTGCATTGGTGGCGGTCAAGGTATTGCCCTATTGATAGAATCTTGCTAACTAACTCTCTATTGTTCCCAAGCCTTGGTTCAACGTGCATTTATTTATTTTAAGAATGTTTTTTTTTTTTTGCAAAATGTTATGACAATGTGTAACACACAATATTTTTTTTTTTTTAACATAATTTACAGATAAACAAAAATATATTTGAATCTTTCTATGCCCTCTGTACGTTTACTTTCTTTCATTTTCCGAGTAGGCCATGTGTCTGAACTAATAACTCAATGTAGGTGAGTTTAAATCTCAAGTGCGGCAGATTTTTCAATAAAGCTGCTAATGTTGATGCTTTAACACTGTAGTCTTAATAATAACAACAATGAAATAAAGCGAATATGTTTTTTAACAAACAAACTTTTTTCTTTCATTTGAATTTATATTCGAAATATATTTATTTAATTTTACATATATATAGGTATATTATTACATTATACTTATTTTATTACAACCATTAATTTTCTTTCATGATCACAATTTTAGTAATAATTACTTAGTATATAGTATATTAGTAGAATATTTAATATTTGTATTATTTTTTAGTAAATATAGTAACTTTAACTTGGTAGTATTGTGTTATATAGGAAAACAAATTGAAAACCATATTTACATATTCCAGCCTATTTGTTTTAATAATTATTCGTAACTCGACCGTCTACTTAACATCTGAGAGTAATTAACTGAGCGAGCCCGAATTTGGTCATATCTGAGAAAATATTGAAAAAGTTATTTTACGATTAAGCCGCTTCTCGATTCGAGACAATAACAAAATATTCATGTTAAAACTCTGCAATTTTGTTACTAAATGAGCAAGGGCAAGTAAGAAAACCTTATTCGGTCGTGATCGAATCTTTTACACCCATCACCCTTATTCGAATATAAACAAAAAAAGTAAAAGAATCACATTTTCATAATCTATAATATCGGTTGGGCGCGGATGATTTTTTCTATTTTTAAAATAAAAGCGTTTGTCCGATGGGCGTTGTGGACGTTTTAGGCGAGTTTTTGGAAAGGTTTAAGTGATTTCCATATTCTTTTGCAAATTTATAGGCGGTATCTTCATTTTCGCTAACGGGAGATGGTTTACCACAAATTTAGTTGCGCAAACAAACAGACGAACGGACGGACATTGATAGACGCATGCCAAGAATTTATATACTTAATGAGATTTTTTGAAGCTTTCTTTTGCGCCTTATAAAGATGTTCAAAAAAAGTTATATTTTGATACACTATAATAATGAGTAGGCGTGGTCGATTTTTCCCATTTTTATACAGGTGCTACAGTATCGCCCAAAGAATATGCGGTCAATTTTTTCTACATTTGTCACTTTAAATACCAATCTGCGCGCCAAAATTTCCAATGTTTTGCCAAATTTAAAACTTATCGTTTCATTTTTGCAGCCAGGAGAATATTTCTAACGGACCACCAGATATGCTTACAGCGACTCAAGATTTTACGCTGATCAAGAATATATATATATAATACATACATATACTTTGCGGTGTCTCTGAAGCTTCCTTCCGAGCATCGCAAACGTTTTGACAAATTGAATATACCCCTCATCTTCGCTGATAGATACAAAAACAAAAATTATACGCTGCGAACGGCAATTGAAGTGAGCAGAATCGGGTAATTGAGTCGATTCCGCTCAATATATATACCATGGATAGGGAAAAAGATCGTACGAGCGGAATCCTGCGCATCCTATATTTCTTGCCGAGTGTATGTCATAGTTTAAATAAAACTAGATTAAGGTGTGCACGATTTTTGAATCATTTTTGTTTTTTTTTAATTTTTAACAATTTTTGTTGCAAATATTTTTTGCATTATTTAAACAAGGAACAACTCGCATTTTGCATTTCTAATATATAAACTCATTAAACTGTTTATGTTAGAATCATTTAGTGATTCCAGGGACCCTTTATGTTGTAAACGCCCTTTCACAATGTCTATACAAATCTCATTTCGCCATCATTTATGTCTATATATTAGCCACAAGCAAACGGAGAAGCGATTTTGAATGTCTCTAGGAGTCTTGTCATAGAATTATATAGAAATTCATTATTCATTTACAAATAATATCAAAATTAAAACATTTTTATTACATACGATCTAAATAGAGTGTAGGGAATTTCAACAAACAGCACGTTAAAGTCAGCCTTAATAGAGGAATAAAAAAAAAATTCCTTTTTTCCTATTATATGCATTTCAATACGCTTTCACATAAAATGTATTACATATGTAAAGTGTACTTTATGACCTAATTCAATTGTGTTTCAATTAGTTTGGGTGCTGGTGGAGAACAAAGCCAAAACTCCGCTAGCTAAGCCAATTGAGAATATATAGTTGATAATGGGCGACGAGTTTTTTAAAATGAAAAAACTAATAAAAATAATGATGGCCAGGAATAATGCATTGTTATAGAATATGGAATAAGTTGTAGCTTCATAGTCCGCTACTTCATTTTTCTTCCATAAAATACGTTCATCCTTTTCTTTGCGCGTAACTTTTTTGTCATCACCCAATTGACGATTGATCTCACGCGTGACGGCGTCCTCGCGTCGAACGGCGATCTTATGTTTTAACTGAAATTTGATATTTTTGTAGGCCATTGCCATTAGATAAGTGCTGACACCGGTCATGATAATAAAGAAAATCGCACTCGGAAGTAAATCCATATTATGGACGCGCCAAAATAGCCCTGGAAGGTAATAAAACCATAATTCAGAAAACGGCTTTGCTTAAATTATTGACGGTTATTGACGTGTCACTTACAGATCGGAACGGCAGACACAATGAATGCGTTGCCATAAAATAATGCAGACGACTTCGTGCTGACATTGCGGCTGAAATCTTGCAGCAATAGCTCCTCTTCTTTCGTGAATCCCGAAGCTTGAACTTTTTGTTGTTTTTTATCTGAACCCATCTTATTTAATTAAAAATTTACTTAAATTATTACAACCAACTTATACGTAGCTAATTGGAGTGAAAGTCATTTAAGCCGAAAATGTGCCGAAAACAGATGCTGTCAAAATAGTACGTGTTAAAGGCATTGCCAAAGCGTTTTAATAAATTTTAAAAATTCGGCCACGGAGAAAATGCATTCGGTACCGAGAACTATAACAAACTTTTAATGCAACTCTGCACTTGAAATATAGGATAATTGAATTTGCAATATTGAAAACAAGCCGAGGGGAATTTTGGATACAAACCGAGTGGCAATTACGGAAAAGACTGTAAATATAGGATAACGAATCATCAATATCTTCAAAGCGCAAGTCTCAGTCAATGCCTCCCGCCTAAGTTTAACGTAATTCGTCGTAAAACGCTGATATTTAATCAATTGATTACACAATCCACGGCCCCAGCTAGACAATGTACTGCCAACAGCAACGACGGATGACGCCTATCTTCAGACGGAAAAAAAAAGAAATCAGCTCGAGGTAACGATACATTAGCATCCCAGCAAAAAACTAAGTCAAGCGATTTACTATTCACATTAAAAATGTTATTAAGCTGACACAAACCTAACTACTTCAGAAATAAGCTCTCAGAGGATAATGCGAGAAGGTTTTAAGTTTAGTTCCGAAATAATGATAACACAATTTAAAAATGCTTAAGACTAAATAAACAACTCATAAAGATGAATTTTACAATGGTCTTTTAAATGTGCTTAATTCGCTACTATGTAAAGGCGAATATTACATTTTTTTCCACCACTTATTCTCATTTCTTTTTAAAATTTTTATGATTATAAAATGATATCATAAATTTTCAATAATGTAACGGAAATAAAACGGTTTCTGATCAGTTTGGTTCGCTTGAGATTCGTCCAAAATGTTGCATGCCTTCCTATACTGTTGAAAATCATGTAAAAGTGTTACTTGATCTTTTATAAACATGACGTTTATTAACATAAAAATAAACAAGCGAGGCAAATTTGATTTGCTCTCAAATATAGACAAACATTTGGCCACCTCAACAACAACAACAAAAAAAGAGGAGAAATGAAAAAAGTATGCGTAGCAAGCAAATATCTCATTTAATAGACTGTGTGAGGAAATTTCTCATCTAACAGACTGCGTGAGGAAATTTCTCATTTAATAGACTGCACGAGGAAATGTTGTTGTGTTTGTTTTTATCGTTGTTGTACTCTTTACATAAAAACAAATATGTGTAAATAAAAACACGGGCGGATTCCGGTTATGCTGCAATGTAGACGCATTCTCTGACTGATTTGACGCAAATTCGATTCTAACTTAAGAGTAAGAACTTCCAATGTTTCTGTTAAATATCAAGCAATACTTAATTTTTATAGCATTATTAATTCGAACAACAATAAACTGAGACAAAAAAAAAGTTGATTGAAATATTTTTTTCTTTTTATGAAGTATTAAAAAGTTACACATGTACATTTGAGAATTTTTAATTATTTTTTAATTTCATGCATGTAATATAGCTTTTCTGATTTTTTCTTCAGGCTCTTTGAATTACTCTCAGATTTGTTTTCTTCTAGCTTCGATTTGTTGACAGCATAGAGAAAGCAGTACTTTTTTTTATTGTTGCTTCGGAATTGCCAGCTTTAGCCATCGTATTAGTGGAAAATATGAGAGTTTTCACAAGAGCAGGTAGGATATAGTTGCTGTCTTATTTATTAAACAAAACTGTGTACTGCACAGAACATAAGGATCACATAAAGTTTATGATCAGATTGCTGTCTGTATTCATAAAAACTTATAGTTGCGATAATTTTTATATATAAACAAATTATTTTTGTGCGAAAAGTAACAAGTTTTGCGTGAAGATTCATTTGGGCATTAAAGCAATCCCAGCCGATAACGCAATAACGGCTTGAATAGTTTTAACAATCAAAGGTCGTTTGAAGTTTTTTCTTATCTGCGTGTAGAAAATGCAATCTGCTCTAATAGTGGGGAAAAAAATATGCAGCTCTTTGCTGCTAAGAAATTGGGTGAGGCCGTTATCGGCTGCCAGCGATAAATTAACCAACGTCGAGGTTAATGATAAAACCGGTTTTGCTAAGCTTACGATGAACCGGCCTCCAGTTAATGGGTTAAATTTAGATTTACTTCGCGATCTTCATCAATCTATTCAAGATATTGAAAAAAATAAATGCCGCGGATTGATATTAACTTCTGTAAGTAAAAAAGATAATATCATGAGTAAATTGAAATATAATTTTTAATTTATTTGTTTCTCACTGCATTCGCAGGCCTCTAACACAATATTTTCAGCCGGCTTGGACATTATGGAAATGTACAAGCCTGACCAAGAACGATTAAAACAGTTTTGGACCGCTTTGCAAGACGTTTGGTTAGCTTTATATGGCTCCGCAGTTCCAACGGCAGCTGCCATTAATGTATTTATGGGTTTCCCTTCATTTATTGCATGCACTTATATTAATTAGGCGGTTTTCTAGGGTCACTCACCAGCTGGCGGCTGTTTATTAGCTGCTAGTTGTGAATATCGGGTCATGCTTCCTAAATATACAATCGGACTCAATGAAACACAATTGGGTATTGTAGCTCCCAAATGGTTTATGTCAACTTTTCGCAATGTTTTACCGCGCCGCATAGCCGAACAAGCCTTAACTCAGGGTAAAATGTTCACAAGCGACGAAGCCTTAAAAATTGGTCTAGTTGATGAACTGGCTGCTACGAAAGAAGAAGCTCTGCTAAAATGTGAAAAATTTTTTGCTTCTTTCGCCAAAACGGATCCGATTGCTAGATACTTGACAAAGAAACAACTTCGTCACAATGACATAAAAGAGCTGTTGGATGAAAAAGTACAAGATGTAGAAAATTTTGTACTTTTCGTTAATCAACCAAGCGTACAGAAGGGTTTAGGTTTATATCTTGAAAGCCTTAAGAAAAAAGCGAAATAATAATTTCTACTTTTCATTTATTCACTAAGATA